GGGGGGGGTGCTAAGAGCGGCGGATGGACGAAAGTGTCTGTAAGGAGGGTGTCTGACCAGAACAACAGGTCAAAGGCCAAGGAGGAGGAGCTTATTGGATTTCAGCCAATCATTGAGCTGATCGATGGGTGAAGAACATGAAACATGAGACATCTTGAGATCTTCTGCGGACACATCAGTCTGCTCTATTTCATGAAATATTATGTTATTAATAGTTTGATTTGGTTTGTAATTGCTTTTGCGTTTGTTAGTCTGTTAAATTCCTTTTGATTTTGATGTGGACCGGCTGATTCCGGCCCTGTTTGCTGATGAAGAAGGAGAGCAGGGGGGGGGGGGGCTCTTCTCCCCCCCCCTCCCCCCCCCCCCCCCACCCACTATAAACACGCATACCCTATCCTGTACAATGGTGTGCAGACGTGTGTTTGACACTAAACTCTCCTCTCTGCAGAGCTCAAGCATGAGATCCTGGTCTGGAGGCAGACGGCTCAGCGCATCAACCCGGCCAGCCGAGAGGAGACGGCGGTGAAATGCCTCCTGATGCAAAAAGTCCTCAACCTGGAGAGTCTGCTCCGCAAGATGATGAAGACCTTCCAGAGGTGAACACAACAACACTGAAGACATTGCTTATTTAAGATATTATTGGTGCATTTCCAACGCTGTCTCCGACTAAATGAAGTTCCCAAACAACTCAAATGAGTTCTCAGTGACGTTCTCGAGGGAAACAGATCTTCTCCTGATTACGTCACAGTTTGAAACAAAAAAACAATACAAAAAGTTAGATTTAGTCAAAAAGATCAAGGTTTATCTTATTTAGATGACAGATGTAAATGAAAATGAAGACATTGTTTGTTTGATTGTTTGATTTGTGAAACGTCAAAAACAAACGTAAACCAAAAGTAAATTCACAGTTTTGTTGAATCAGAGCGTGTTTCTATGAGACCAGGCCGACATATTCTGTCAACACAAAGAATTCAGCGTTTAGTAAAGTACCGTTGATGACTTGTGGAATGACACGTATCATTTCTGCTAATAGATGCACATTTAGTTGAGTTTATTTGAGATTATTTCACCGCTTAAAACACAACATTGTACTTTTTTAAAATCATTTTTTTGCTCAAAAACAAGCTCAAGGAAATACTTTCTGTTTCTGTCCCTTTCGTCCAACATGTTCTCCTGGCAGTCAAAGCCATTACAGCCCAAATATAGTTTCATAGCACTTAAATACTGAAGCACCAAACACAACACTCAACAAACACCTACAAACACTCATTATGTGTTCATAAACAGCTGATAGAGGCGCCATTACACATCATTTAACGAACATTTTGAAACTCTTAAGAGAGTTATTAGTCTATAATTTATTGTTTTTCTCTGCTTTTAATGCACATTCAAATGTTGCTGCATCCGACAGAGAAATTTCTCAAGAGGACAAGAACTGGGAGCAAAACATTCAGGAACTGCAGAAGAAGGTGAGCTGTGGTGCATTGACGTTATCTCAATAATGATGCCGGCCTCGTCTTTGAAGCTCCACTTGAGACAAATACCATCAGTGTGTTGGATGATAAAACTAAAAGCTTTCCCTCCATTCAGACTCAACATATATATGTGTGTTTCTCTCTCCTCCACAGCACAGAATAACCGACACGGTGCTCTTGGTGAAATGTGTGTCTGTCCTCACCGTGGTGATCTTCATGTTCTTCCTCAACTCCTTTGTTCCCAGCATTCATCTGGAGCTCGGTGAGCACTGCTATCTCATTACAGCGCTGTTGTTAGAGGCACCCCCCCCCGGCACTTTAAAGGTTCTGTCATGTAATTATGAAACGCAGCTTCCTCCGTCCTCGCGTGTGAATTGAGCCCAAATAACGGGCTGACTAGCAAAAGCATCCGGTAAATTACATGGATACTGAGCTGCATTTAGACGCCTCGCTCTGCATCTATTCATGTGCTGCATCATTCTAAAACCTGTGGCGATAAATAGTGTTTCAGGCAAAACTACTGAATGCACATTTGATCTGAAATAAGCAGATATAGAGAGCTGCACGGATGAAGTATTTCTGTAGTCCATCCAGACGACAACATGAATCCGATGCTTCATGTGTTAAAGCTGCATTCTCTCTAGTGTCCACCAGGGGGCGACTCCTCTGGTTGTATAGAAGTCTATGAGAAAATGACTCTACTTCTCTCTTGATTTATTACCTCAGTAAACATTGTAAACATGAGTTTATGGTCTCAATCTCTAGTTTCAAGTCTTCTTCAATACAGCATGATGTTCATTTAGTACATTATGGTCCATTTAGAGTCAAACAGACCATAAAGCAGGGGATGCTTTAGGGCGGGGCTACACAGTGATTGACAGGTCTCTATCATAGGGCTAATTGTAAGCTAACGAAAAACACGATTCTTTATTTTCAAGCGATTATACACTAATGAATACATTTAGGAATATAATATTTCTGCCATTAGATCCCCTTTAATCCTACACACCTTTAATGACATCACTTTGGACCTTGAGAAACTGGGATGGACAACTTTCACTATTTCATAGACCAAATAATTAATACAGATTAATCCAGAAAATTGAATAGATAATGAGAAGAACCGGCAGTTGTAGCCCTATGAACAACACACAATGTAATTATTTATTATTTTCTGTACATTAAAAGCGAAGGAACAGTCTGGAAGATGTCAATGATTATCAACATGTTGTAGAGTGTCACTGTCAGGTTATTCAGTTACAGTACACCCATATGAATAGGACTGGATGTTACCAGTCAGCTGATTTTTCTGGCTCTAATTCTGCCTGCTTGCATATTTTGTGCGTGTTAGTAAACGTGGACATGTGTGTCAGGTTGAGGGTTATATCTCCGATGTGTGTCGGTAGATGACCGAACAACATCTCATTAACGCTAACATGATTCCCTAAATGAAGATGGCTGTTCATAGCCACCCGGTCGTCTGCTGAGGCGTCTCAGTCACCAAACATGCTCAGTTAATTACAGCCTCTGCTCAGCTCACCTCTCTGGGACATTTATTGAAAGGGAATGACCCAACAGCAACGTGTTTCTGTCTCTGTGGACGGACGGACGCCTGTCTCCGAACACAGCTCTCATTAATGCACGCAGGGTTAACTACTGCAGCTCTATTCATTCACAGCTGTTTTAAAATGAAAGTTTAATTTAATTCACAGCGTAAGATTTCATTTCAGTCTGATTATAAACTGGTCATTTGATCTTTCTAACGTGTCTGTGGTCATGTGAGCTACAACTGTGGTTTGGATGAAACTTTATCAATACCTGAGCAGAAATTGGGAGAATGTAGTAGAAAAATGCTCACAACAGAAATCATTGAACATTTAAATATTTTAGTTTGTTAAAAGCCCAGTCACAACGAAAATGTGTTTTTGTACGTTTCTGCAAAACACTGATTGTTTTATAGTTTTACAGTTCTATATATTTATATCGATGTTTTTGGCATTCAGTCAGAGCAAGTGACAAAGTATAGCGAGCGACCGCTATCTAAAGTTACGTGGTTTAATAACCAGTATAACAAGCGAAACACAGGATTTTCATCCAGGAGACCGCTGTTCATGTCCTCTGTGAAACCAAAAGTAAACATGGACTTTGCACTTTTATATAACGTTATATAACAATGTATTGTTAGGCTACGTTGTTGCGCTACGTTGTTGCGCTACGTTGTTGCGCTACATTGTTGCGCTACGTTGTTAGGCTACGTTGTTAGGCTACGTTGTTAGGCTACGTTGTTAGGCTACCTTTTTACGTTTTAATGTTGTTAGGTAATGTTTATTCACAATAGTTAGGGCCCTTAAGTTACGTTGTTGCGATACGTTGTTGCGACACGTTGTTGCGTTACCTTGTTGCGTTACATTGTTACGTTACCGTGTTGTGTTACCTTGGTACGTTACCTTGGTACATTACATTGTTATGCTACGTTGTTGGGTTACGTTGTTGGGTTACGTTGTTGGGTTACGTTGTTGGGTTACGTTGTTGCATTACCTTGTTGCGTTACATTGTTACGTTACATCGTTACGTTACATTATTACGTTACATCGTTACGTTACATCGTTACGTTACATTGTTACGTTACATTGTTGGGTTACGTTGTTACGGTACCTCGCCACGTTACCTCGTTTAGTTGTTATGTTGCTGTTTTAACGTTGTTAAGTTATCTTATTATGTTTCCTTGGTACGTTACATTGTTATGTTGTTGGGTTACGTTGCTACTTTACATTGTTATGTTACGTTATCTTTTTAGTTACCTTTTTACGTTACCTTGTTAAGTTACCTTGTTGCGTTACTTTGTTAAGTTACCTTGTTGCGTTACCTTGGTACGTTACATTGTTACGTTACATTGTTACGTTACGTTGTTGGGTTACGTTGTTGGGTTACGTTGTTGGGTTACGTTGTTGGGTTACCTTAAGTTACCTTGTTGCGTTACCTTGTTAAGTTACCTTGTTAAGTTACCTTGTTAAGTTACCTTGTTTCGGTGGTTCCGTTCTGTTGTTCCACTGCATTGTTGTGTTGTTACATTGTAACCTTGTTACTGAACATTGTTTGTTTGGCATTTTGTGTTTCTTCAAGCGTGCATGAGGCAGATATTAATTATAATTTTGCAGATTGGTCTTCAATAGAATAAAATAAATTCTTACTTTGGTAATTCCAACGTTTAAATGACTTTGAATCTTTGGAGATGCAGAATACCTGAAGCATCACAGCTTCTTATCTCACCATATGCTTACAAGTGTGTAAGATAGTGGAGCCGGAGCACACATGTCTTTATCTGTTGGCCTTGTTTCTTTTTGCTTCTGTGTCCCTTTTCACATTTCCTGTCTCAGACACGGTTGTCGTGCTTGTGATAGATAAGTCGATGGTAAACTGCTCAGACTAAAAGTTCTTTTTGATTGGAGAGCTCTTTGGGTTTGTTATCTGCTGCTTGCTCCTCGCTCTGTTCAGGATGCAGCTTCAGGAAACATCAATGCAGTATGGAAATCAAAAATGTCATATTGTTGTCTATTATATTTGTCCTCTGTTGCTCGAAGGAATCATAGACCGAATAAGACACTTATTCTGAGTTATCTACTTTTTGCAATTTGTACAAGATATTGACATTACATGAGCTTTTATGGTTCATTAATTCTTCATTTATGGCATATGGAATGAATGATTATTTAGTAATTATGATCAGGATGGATGTTGGTTAAAAATGTAACTCAGTGAAAGTGTAAAGTAATATTAATATACAATTTTATGGCAGTTTTTTAAAGCATTTTTCCTCCTATAGGGACATCAGAGCATACGGGTTTATAGAGTAATATGTAAATGATATGTTCAGCCCAAGTTATCTAAAAATAAACTAAAGCAGGTTTCATGAAAACAGTATTAGTTTGAAGTTGACACAAGCCTCATCAAATATTATTTAACAACAGTAACTTAACGTAACAAAACGCTTATGAAACATGTTATGAAGTGGAAATGTAGAACCTTTAGAAAGTGATTTTATTAATTCATTCACCTTCTCTGTTCTTACCTTTCCCATTGCCTACTTGTTCATTCTCTTTGGACATTTCCTGCTAACTTTGACCCTCGTTTACCCTAAAACTGGACCTGAATCCTCACCTAGAGGTTGAAGTCAATGCAGGAGAACACAAATGAACCCAAACAGCAGAAACACCAACATGCTGCGACTCATTCACACTCTAATCTTCCCTCTGCCCGTCTCCTCTCCTCTTCGTCACTAGTTCCCTTCAGTTGTGAAATTATTTCCCAGAAGGCCGAGGCCGAGGCAATTACTGCTGCTCAGCTGTTTAATCACATGTTCTGCAGGTGGATGCACACTCTCCCAGAAACACTGTGTCAACGCAAACATCAGCTGCTGGAGCCGACCTTTGTCCTCCAGACGGGAATGTGTTGAAATGACATCAAATACTTTATTCATTATTATACTTCAACAAGTTCCTTCATGCTGCGATCTGTTTATTAGATCATAGAGAGGGTTGAACTCTCTGCGTCACATTGAATTCTCCTTTTCATTTTCACACGTACAGAATCAGTTTGAGATGTTTCCTGATCGTTGACTTACTGTATTTGAGATTTATTTCTTTGCACAATAAATCAAAGCATCCGAAACAACAAAAGACAAGAAGCAAGTTGTGCAGGTGAGATAAAAAAAAGAAAAAGATCTCATCTCAATAAACATTATCAGCAAATACAGAAGTCATACAAGCTACTAAACTAAACAGAAAAGCCAAATATGAAATTTATAAGGAAACATAAAGGAAGCGATATTAGACAGTAAAGACGACATACAGTGTAAAAACATCAGGTGGTGTCTTCTGTCACATTTAATAAAGGTCGCTGTTCTTCTTCAGAGCTGTGATCAGACACATTTCAGTGAACAGAGAGCAGATGGAGCCATGTTTCATGAAGTAACTTCATATGTGTGTATATATGTGTGTGTGTGTGTCTTGTTCTAAATCTGTCTTCATGAAACACTTGGTTGTGTTTTCTATGAAGGGAAGATGTCGGCTGATGTTTCTTGTTGTCTCTCAGGTTGGATCGCTATCCTGGGTTCACTGTGGCTTCTGGTTCTGGCCGACGTCCAGGATTTCGAGATCATCCTGCATCGGGTGGAGTGGGCCACGTTACTGTTCTTCGCTGGCCTCTTCGTTCTGATGGAGGTATTTAACTCGCAGCCCGTGTTTATGGCGTCAATGGAAGCCCCGTCATGTTTTCTTAAGAGATTCACACATGAAGCGGAAACTGAAACCAAACAATCAATTTTGCAGTGTCTCCATTTATTTAATGTTAATGAAGTAGAGTTGTTCCAGGCTGGATAACCAACTTCTGTCCAAACTACACTGTAGCTGAGTTTAATTGATCCAAAACTAAAACATATCTCTTTATTTGGCGATATTTCAAAAGTTTGCTTGAAATTAACTTGACAATTGAATAGAAACACGAGAAATCAGCAGGAGGAGAGCTAGTTAACGTTGGCTGTTAGCAGGAGGAGAGCTAGTTAACGTTAGCTGTTAGCAGGAGGAGAGCTAGTTAAAGTTAGCTGTTAGCAGGAGGAGAGCTAGTTAAAGTTAGCTGTTAGCAGGAGGAGAGCTAGTTAACGTTGGCTGTTAGCAGGAGGAGAGCTAGTTAACGTTGGCTGTTAGCAGGAGGAGAGCTAGTTAAAGTTAGCTGTTAGCAGGAGGAGAGCTAGTCAAAGTTAGCTGTTAGCAGGAGGAGAGCTAGTTAAAGTTAGCTGTTAGCAGGAGGAGAGCTAGTTAACGTTAGCTGTTAGCAGGAGGAGAGCTAGTTAACGTTAGCTGTTAGCAGGAGGAGAGCTAGTTAACGTTAGCGGAACAGTCCTGATTGGCTAAATAACGGCGCTAACCTTAACAAAGCTAACAGTCAGCAACAATATGAAATGGACATTGGAGAGGGAATTATGACCCGTTTGAAAGAGTCAGAGTCAGTATCGGAAAAGAACAACACGATATCTGAACATCTGAAATGATGAAGTGATCCAGAACTGTGATAAATGAAGCTGTGCTGTCCTCTGGAAAGTATCTTTACAAGATAGTAAAGGAACCGGGATGCTCGTACTGATGGTACACAGTGAGAGGAATCAGTGGGCTTACAATCGGAAGAGTGAAGGATCTGTCTCTTTCAGTGACGGCTGGTTTGACTCTGAAAGCATTGGACACAGTGAGCAGGAACAAACCCGTGTGTTCATCTCTGTGTCAATGCCCACAACAAGAAGAGATCTGTCTCTGTCTGCTTAATGTAGGCTGAATAAAAAGCAAATTGCTTTCCTTCTCTTGGTTTGATCCCACCTGTACCTAGTTCTCCTCAGCTCTTTTTATGTTTCTTCCTCATATTAATCTCCTCTTCATCTTCCAGGCTTTAGCTCAGCTGCAGCTCATCGACTACATTGGAGAACAGACGGCGCTGCTTATAAAAGTGAGTGTTTTTTCTCCCTTTTTGATTCTCAAAACCAAAACAATCGTCTCTCGGGGCTCCACGCAGCTGGCGTAATTGATAATTGGGCACAGGTGATGTGATATTGTTTTTCATGCATATTGATCCTTTTGGTTCTGTGCGATTTGATTTCTTTGTTTGCATCTGATTCCCGTTGGCGGGCGGAGCAGTCTGAGGTAATCTCTGCTTCATGCCAGCTGAGGATTGCAGCAGTAATAGAGACGTCAGCTCGTGTTTAGACGGCGAGCTTCTAGAAGGCTAATAATCACACATGACAGGCGGCGCGCTGTTCACCTGCTCAGCCTCCACAAACAACGCACTGCATGCTGGGTAGAAGTGCACGGCCTTTCTATCCTGATACAAAAGAGGACATTTGTGACCCGGAGGCCGATCCCTCCATCTTGAAGGAAGTCCCGATTCCTAAAATGCATCTCGAGGATGGAGGAGGTTTACCGGAGGAGCTAGGAGAGAGGAGCTAGCAGCTAGGAGCTAGGAGCGAGGAGCGAGGAAGCACCGGTGTTTCCTTTGAGGAAGTGTTTTCATCACATGTAAGAAATAGAAGAGGAGTGACTCACAGCTGGACTGACTTCACCAGACTCTGTTCACCTGATTCTAATATTTTACATGATTAGTCATCCAGTTCAACATGATGTTTACAAGAGAAAACTGTATTGTATCAATCAGAACATTCAGCTCATATTAACTGTGTTTCATGTTGTCATTTAGTGAGACAGGACTGTGTTTGTGTGAATATCATATGAAATATCTCACTCTTTATTTGTACAGTACTTTTCATACAAACATTTGTTTCACACAATAATATATAAGAAGTCTTTATTACATATGGCCTGTGTGTGTGTGTGTGTGTGTGTGCGTGTTAAATAACCGAATGTGACATCCGATCGTTCTCGTCACATGATGCCACATTTTAAATTGAATTACTAGTAAATATACATTTGTCATGAACACCGTTAAGCTCCTCTGACAGAGATCATAAAACACCGAGTCATAACTAAACGATGAACAGCTGATCAGCTGTGACACACGTCACGTTTAACCGACGTCTCTAACATGTCGGTCTGAGGACGTCTCGTTTGTTAAATGCTCGTCGCCTCGACTCCTCCCTCCTCTCGTCTCCTTCCGCTCGCATGGGGCAGGACTACAAGATGCGAGGCGAGGAAAGGAATTGAGGAGGCAAATGTGATGGGTGATGGGTTGTGGTGGTTATGTGTGTGTAATATGACAGTAATAACTTATTATGTTTGAATGTCCCCTCTCAGGCGGTGCCAGAGGACCAGCGCTTGGCTATAGCCATCATCCTGGTGATGTGGGTCTCGGCTCTGGCTTCTTCTCTCATTGACAACATTCCCTTCACCGCCACCATGGTGAGAGGCTGCAGCACATCAAGTCCTCAATGGTCCTTGATGTTACACAGTATTGTGACAGACCTTATGCATGTGGTTCCAGCACACGTTATTACACGTCATCATTACTGGCTGCGTTAACCGTCAAACTGTTCTGATGTCTTTAATAAAAAGTAGAGTCATTTTCTCATAGACTTCTATACAACCAGAGGAGTCGC